TCTCTCAGGTGCAGAACCTGAATAAACCTCTTTCTTTTTTTACCAACACCTGCCTCATGAGTTTGGCTTTCATTGTGGCAGGCAGCAGAGCCTGAATTTTTTGTTTGTTTGTTTGTTTCAGTTACATCAAAGCTAAAAAGAGAGGACTGGATAATTCATTGTACAGGGAAGCTCCATTTTTCTTGCTCTGCTTTTAAAACTTACAATTTAAAGAACTTCATTAATAGGGAAACTGAACTAAAAATGGACAAGGAAGGCTCCTCTGACATGTTCAGCTTTGAAGGAATGGATTCCATGACCCTAGTATCAAAGCTGTCATCTTATTATGATAAATCATCCTGGGGGTCTTTCTTTCATTCTCTGGTAACATTTCACACATTGTGCAGGATTTTGTCTATGAATTACACAATGAGGCAGCTTTCTCAGTGATCTCTAACCCCTGTCATGCTGTGGCTGATCTCTTTTATATCTCCACATTCTCTCCTCCCCTTCAGCTCCCACAGTGTGCCTGTAAGTTGCTTTTTCTCTACTGCACCACCATAAGGCCTGCCTCCCTGCCATTCCTCCTTCTCAGACCCACTGCCTAGAGGTAGCATTCATGCAGCAACTCAATGGAAGTCCAAGAGAGTTCTTACTCGTTGTGACCCCTGGAGAGAAACCTTAGGTACAGTCCTTGGATTTGTACCTGGTCAACAATCCCCAGACATATCCTGGGATTTTGATTAAGCCTTGATCATGGGCTACTCAAACAAATGCAGCAGACATGCAAACAAACCATCCTGATTCTATTACATAGATATGTACAAAAACCTAAGTTCTATGTATCTACTATCACATTGACCCTCCATCTCTACAGGATTCTTCTCAAGTGTTCAGCATCTACAAGAAACCAGCCAGATTGTGGAGTTGAGAGTTAGAACAGAGTAGAAAATACTCTACTTCTTCCCATATGTTTTCACAAAGGAAAAAGACATAGAGAGGGAGCCAGGCTTTATCTTTGAAGAGTACCAGCACTGCAACCTGACTTTCAACCCTCTCTGCTCTATGAGAGATTTTGCATAGATTCAAAACCATTCATTTTGTCCTGGAGCTCTCAACATTGGCATGCCTGGGTCTCTTCAGTTCCTAACATCATTCCAGCAGACTTCTCCAGAGGTGCAGGTCCTCACAGAAAGGGAATTTTAAGTTCACCTTCCCTTCAGACCCAGATAGCAAGAGTGTGGTTCTACTGACATAAGTTACCATGGCAAGAAACTCAAAGTTGTTCCCAGATTGCCCAGGGGTATGTTATCAAGTTGATTCCATAGTTCTCTTTGTTCTGGGAGCCTGTGTGCTCTTCTAATGGATGGGACAAGTCATCAACATTTCTAGTAGGACTCAACCTCCAGTCTACCAAGTGGTCTAGGTATGTTAGAAATTAAATTGTTTCCTTCCCACATCAGTGTTCAGGAACTGGATCAGTGAAGCATTATCAAATTATAGAAAGTCTTAAAATGGCAGATAGTTCCCATAGTTAATTAAGTTAGTTCTTGGTATCTAAAGAAAAATGCATTGTCTTCCTTTGCCTAAAACCACTTAGGAGAGGCCAGGAAATCATGAAAATGTGAAATCATCCTTTGCCATAGTTTATTCGCTTATTTCCATGGAAATTAAGGGGCAACAGTCAAAATTAGCTGCTCCACCCATAGGCATTTATTATAACCCATCAATAATACCTCCCAAGTAAAAAGGATAGAGAATTAGGGGACAGAAATCCCCCAGCATTCATGGGGAACTCAGGAACTAACAAAATATGATGTGAAATTTGTTTGCAGTGTCTGAGTTCTTACACTGTTTCTAGCTTTGAGGATGTTATGGATAGAGGTGCAGTGAATGGATGAATTTCCCATCCATTCCCATTTTCCTTATATCTGCAAAAGGTGAACAGATTCTCAGCTGTAAAACAACAGTTAAAGATAATAACAACAAAATCAACCACAAATAGAAAGAGTGGTTTTATTTCTGATATTAACTGATGATAAATGCAACATATTCCCAGTATGTGGCACAATGTGATCGTCATTCTCAAGGCAAGGACTTGGGGTACAGTAGTGAAGGAAAAAGACAAAACTTCTATCCTCATAGGTCTTACATAATAGTTCCTAGGGATCTTTTAATCCTTCTAGGGACCCCCTGCCAGTCATTTGAACATGGGGCCTTCCTTTCCAAAAGTCCACTGGCTGGCTATCTCTCAATGCTCTAAGTCATTCTGAAAGTAGAAAAGGTTTTCCTGCTGAGAATTCTCCTACCTTATACCACTCCCTTTTCCCTAAATTTTTATAGGCTTCAAACCTACAGACAACAGCCCACCAGTGGCTCAGCCCTGAGGCCAAGTGAAGACCTATCCCAGAGGAATTACTGGCAGATCCTTTCCCTACCTGAGATCAGTGGAAAGGAGTAAGGAGAGGCTGCCGCTGTGTAATGGGGAGGTCTCTGTGTAAGAAAAGGGGAAAGTGGAATGGGGGAATATACTTTCCTTCTCAGTGACCAGTACCCCTTTGGTCTGCAGGAGGGGAGTAGCTGGGGGATATAACCCCCAACCCCAAGTTGCCTGCCATGGAGAACAACAATCCCATCACCCTTCTCCCCAGGCCTGTATTCTGGGCTGCTATAGTCTGGTTAGCTGGGAGTTCACACCAGATGGCACAAAGAAGTCAACAACGAGGGGAAAATGTACTTGCTGTACGTTAACCCAAGAAAAGACTAGTGCCTAAAAACTGTGCAGGAGCTGAAAGAAAACACTCTGATTGGCATCTTTTTACAGGTGAGAAAAGGTCCATGAACAGCAGCCCCAAGGCCATGCAATCATGTGTGAGTGTCAGCAGGGCCTATCATGGCACAGTTTTCTCTCCTCTCTGAACAATGTACCTATCAGCAGGCCAAAGCTCACTGGAACCTCCCAGGCTAACCTGAGGACCCTGGAGCAGCTGAGCTCAGGGATCTGGTGAGAGAAGTGAAATAGAGATAGGAGGGTGCTTCGTGGGGTGAAGGAAGCCAGGCAGTGGGTGAGTCTGGGAGCAAAGTTGCTGTAAACACTGAGGCAGGTGTTGCCCAAAACCTGGGGGTGTTTTGGTTGCATGGGGACAGAGTTTTTGTGGTAGATGGGTGGCTTTATGCCTGCAGGACAGCTCACCTGCATGGTCTCCAAGATGGAACTGGGGATAAGCACAAAACCTTGGCCCAGTGGCCTCTCAATGGCCTCCTTATACTCTAGTGAACTTGGGTCCACACCTCAACTAGAGGGGCTTATCTCCTTCATAAAACAGTCCTTCATTCCAGTGTCCTGCCCACTTCTAGAGTTCAAGCGAGGATAACATTCATTATGAATGCCTATTACCCCTAGTCAAACTGAAGCCTCCACCTGGCTGCTCTCTTGTCCAAGTTCACTCCCCTCTCTAGGTCCAGGGGACCATGAACTCCCAGACCTAGTGCTGAGCATTTCCTCTTTCGGGCAGCACATGGCAAAAAAAAGAAGCCACTCACTACCTGCTCCCCACTAGAACACACAATAAGCATCAGTTTAATCTTTAAACGTGTCATTTCCCCAAACGCAAAAATAACAGAGCTGTCCATGGGTCTGTCATTTTGCCCAACCCATGCTGAAAGCCTTTAAAACTGCCTGAATGAAGATAATAGACAATTTGGTACATCACACAAGTGGTGGAAACTAATAAAATAAACATCATAGGTGAGCTCCAACGTACTGGTAGTGCTTTCTCTATTTGCAACAAAGACAGGAAAAAGGAGGAAACCTCAGTGTGAAAGGGCAGTGGGTAAGAAATGTACTTTCTGGGTATTTGAGCCCCTCCCTGAAGTATTTACACTGCCAAGCCTCAGGTCCTGACCTTCCTAGGGCGGAGAAAGGTACCCCCGTTTCCTGGCTCTCAGACACCAATGCCACCGAATCGACATCAAAAGTCCTCATCAGAAGAATGGGAAAGAAATGGCTGCAAACACGCCATGCTCTAAGCACCCGACCCCCGCCCCAAGTACACGCCCTCCCAGTAGTTCCTGTTGACTGTGGGAACGAAGGAACCAAGCGGCTCCGAGTCTAGAGGAGCACGTGCGAAAGCAAAGCCTGGCACCCTGCTCTAGACTCTAGACACAGCCACCCCAAGGAAAGAGGGGACACTGCTGCTCTTCCCCTAGGGCCACCAGCTAGGTACAAAAAAAGGTAAACGCAAAAGAAAAGTGAAAGTCGGAGGTCATTTAGCAAGCAAGAGACATTCATCCGAAAACGCGTATACAATTTCAAGTCCAGTATTTCATTCTTTATAAAAGGAGACAAAAATAGTTCTTAAAAGGAAATCACAGGAAGGGGCACAGCACGCGGCTCCCTAAGAGGTCACTGCAAAGTGTATCCTGTTCAGTCTGTGTAGTTCGGCACCACGTCAGGGGCTAGAGGCAATTACTTTCGGAAAAAGCACGGTTTTCACTACAGAGAAACAACTACACACTGACTGCAACTTAGAAAGGCAACAGGCCTGAGCAAAATCCCTGCTGACCCGGCCCAGCCCTTCCAGGTACGTCCCCGCTCCCCGTCCCGCCCCCCCCCAAGCCACGCCCTCTCGTTCAAATCGCTCCAGGGCACAGAGACCTCTTCGGGGCGCCGGGGTGCTCCCACTTGAGCCGAGGAATTGGCGGGCGGGGCCGGGACAGTGGGACGCAGGCACACTCACAGTCACTCGCACACCCCCAGCCGCGCGCACGCACCCCATTGGCTGGAAGCGGAGGGCGGGGCTGGTCAGACCCAAAACAAACAACCTGCGCGCCTCGACTTTGCCTGCCGAGCAACCTCCAGGCCTTAACCTGGTGCGGGCCCGTCTGAGAACCCCTGCTACCTAGGCCACCACGTTCCTCCACCCCTCTGCCGTTGGCGCCCAGGCCCCGCCTCTGCGGAGTCGCCACAGGGTTATATTGGGCCGGGCGGAAGGTGGAGGCCAGACTAAACAGCAGCCAGCTGGTGCGGAGATGCTACTCTGGAGGCCGGGGACAGGAAGACGGCTGCGGGAGCCACGGCCTCAGAAACTCGGTTCCGCGAGCGCTCAAGGCTAAAGACATCGGACTTTCCCCCAAGTGTGGCACGCACAACAGCCTCCATCATTTCCGTACCCGAGGACTTCTGCAAGGGACCTGGAAAGTCCAGTGAAGAAACCCTCCTGATCTCTTGGACCAAGAGCAGATGCGTACGTTTTCTCCAGCAGGAAATCCCAAGGTTCTTATGCCTGGAAACCGGAGGTTAAAACCGTACCCCAGCAACACAGTCACCCTAAAGTGTCTTATCCTCTAACTGAAGAGAGCGTCCACCCAACTCCTCCCTCGCTGCCCCTCTTAGTTCACCCAATAAGCGCAAGCCCTCCAAAGAAAAATTCCAGCGGAAGAGGTCTCTTCTATGGAAAAGTGACTGTCTCTCGCCAAGAGCAGGGAAAGCTCTCGGTAGAGGAAGTAGAGGACTCCTGGCACAGGAATCGCCACCCCTGCCTGCTCTCCGCACCAGCTTCCCAAGACCGCTCAGAAGAAAAGGGTACGGCGCTGGGCAGGGACAGGGTGTGCGGGTATGAAGCTGGAGGTGTTCAGCCCCCGCGCGGCCCACGGGGACAAGCCGAGTAGTGACCTGGAGGGCGCAGGCGGTAGCGACGCGCCCTCCCCGCTGTCGGCAGCCGGAGACGACTCCCTGGGTTCGGACGGGGACTGTGCGGCCAACAGCCCAACTGTGGGCGGTGGCAAGCGGAATGCGAGAGGTGAGCCTGCGGCGGAGGAGGAGGGCCCGGCGGCAGCGACGGCGGGGGTCGTAGAGGCGGGAGCGGCTGGGCCCAGGGCGGAGACCGCGGCAGGCGGTGAGGGCGGGCGCAGCAAGCCTTACACAAGGCGGCCCAAGCCCCCATACTCGTACATCGCGCTCATCGCCATGGCCATCCGCGACTCCGCGGGTGGACGCCTGACGCTGGCCGAGATCAACGAGTACCTCATGGGTAAATTCCCTTTTTTCCGCGGCAGTTACACGGGCTGGCGCAACTCTGTGCGCCACAACCTCTCGCTCAATGACTGCTTCGTCAAGGTGCTGCGCGACCCCTCGCGGCCTTGGGGCAAGGATAACTACTGGATGCTTAACCCCAACAGCGAGTACACCTTCGCCGACGGGGTCTTTCGCCGCCGCCGCAAGCGCCTCAGCCACCGGGCCGCGGCCCCCCAACCCGGACTGCAGCTAGAGGAGGCTGCGGCGCCGCCACCGGCGCCCGCCGACCTGGGCTCGCCCCAAGCAAGGTCCCCCGCCCTACAGGAGGGGCGCGTCAGCCCGATGGGCAAGTTCTCCAGCTCCTTTGCCATAGACAGCATCCTCAGCAAGCCCTTCCGCAGCCGTCGCGACGCAGACACGGCTTCCGAAGTGCGGCTGCCTTGGGGCTCCACGCCCTGCGCGCCGCTGCCCGCATATCCCGCACTTCTCCCCAGAGCGTCGGCTGGGGCACTACTGCCGCTCTGCGCGTACGGTGCGGCCGAGCCCGCGCTGCTGTGCACTCGCGAAGCCGAGGCGCCGCCGCCAGCGCCGCATCTTCTGCTTGCGCCCTTCTCCGCCTCGGCCCCTGCCAAGCCTTTCCGAGGCCCGGCGAACTGCGGCGGCGGCACGCACCTGTACTGCCCCCTGAGGCTGCCCGCGGCCCTGCAGGCAGCCTCGGCCCGCAACCCGGGCCCACACCTGCCCTACCCCGCGGAGACGCTCTTGGCCTGAGCAGCGCGCCTGAACCCCGCCAGGGTAGGCTCCATCGAGGAAGACGGTATCGCAGGTTAAGGGCTGTGCACTTTCTGTCCAGAGAAAGTAAGACTTTAAAAGAAAATTCTCCATCAAACATGCCTTAAAGCTAAAGGATTTTTGACAGAAGTTTTAACTTAGTCCAGAATATTTCCTTCCTCTTTTGTAACTCTACAGAGGACCAAAGCAATTTTTCAGAATTGTTAGAGTTTCTTTACCAAGCCTGTTCCCTAACTCCCTCCCTCCCTTCACAGACTTTTCCTCTCTTTTTACTCCCCAGGAACCCCCTCATTCCTACGATTTTTGTCGCACGTTCCATTGATTTGTTACTAACCAAAAAAAAAAAACAGGAAAAAGTACATCAGGGAACCATTCCATATGATAAATGATATGACTACTGTTCGGGGTTTACTGGGCCCTGTTCCATGAGTATGTATGTGTAATTTACAGGTATGACTGAATGTGAGAGAGGTGTCAGAGAATCTTAAGTCATTTCTCTGCTATTGACAAAAATGCTTCACTGTGCCAAAAGATTTAAATATATATATATGTATAGAGTTGGGTTTTGTAATTAAATTATTTATATATTTTTGAAACCTGAATTGAATGTTGCAGGCAACGGGCTACAGCTTTATTAGTGGTTTGGTGATCTCTAACTGGCCTCCTTGGGCCAAGCAGTTTCTTCAAAGGAAAAGTTAGCGTGTATGTGGGGTGCCAGCACCACTGCCGCGTGAAAGCAAGTGTGATTTTTATTTTTAATATTATTTTATTTGTATCCATGTACATATTCGTGTATAAATTTTATGAAACCCAGGGATAGTGCTTATTTTTAAATAAAACTCACAACTGACTTTTAATGCTTTGAAGTGACAGACTGGAGATGGATTAGCTCCTACTCCCCCCAAATCAGTTTAGGTTTGAGCCTCTAGAAACTTCCACATGGGTCAAAATATTATCTTGAATGATTCATTAAAAGTAAAGGCAGTCTACAGGTTTCCTGATCCGAAAAAATGCTGTGCATATATCCAGCCAGGATGGGACTTCCAACAATGGGATTTCTTAAATCTTCAAACCAATGACCTCTGTAAGAATTCTCCTAAGAGTTACCAGAACAAATCATAATATGTGTGCCCAAGAATCCTCTAGCCGACATTATTAACAAGTTTTTAGTCAAGCAGACATTTTCAGGCAAATTGATACTGATTTGAGGTTCAAAAAGCTGGGAAACAATCTTGGCATCTCAAACATCAAAGATTTCCTCAGGGCAGGTTTAAGAGCAATTTGAATGTCAATGTGTTTTTCAAAACAAATCCTATCATTTTAGGAATGCAAAAAGTCCTATTAGTATTTTTTTTTTTCACTCTGCTCTTTTGTATGAAGAAGGCACTTGTAGATGTGAGGCTGCCAGGCCTATTTCAGTTGTGATCTGAAGAGAGAATGCTAACTCAGACTGGTCGGAGACAATTTCCAAAATTAAAATGTGAGGTTTTGATCAGAGGAAGTACCAGAAAATTGTGAACACCTGTTTCTCAATAAATTTATAGGCAGTTGGACTCCAACAATTTATGGATTGCAATATTCTAAAGAGTAATAAAAAAATGAGAAATTCAGAGACTAGAAATGTAGGCCCCATTGTTCCTGCCATTCTTGGATAGATCTCATCTCATCCAAGAGAAGGATTTGGACCAACATATTGTGAGGTGGGGAAAGAAAGTGGAGTTTATTTCAGGACGCTGTCTTTGCTCAGGAATGGGTTGAGGGGGGAGTGGCGCGGGAAGCCCATCCCTAGGTCTAGTTAACAAGTAGCGGGTTTAACTGATTTTCTTTCTGCCTACTTAGTATCATGAAGAGTGATTTTTTTAAACAAAGTGTTGAATTATGACAAAAATGTAGGCATTTATTAGACCAGAAAATCAAACGGAAAGACCAGACTGAGGGGAGGAGAGGCAATGAGTTCACCGGATTGTAATGATCAGGACCCATGATCAATTATTTGCTTCTCCCTTGAAAACCCACTCTTAAGATTGAAGGTGATCCGGGAGTCAGCACCTTCAGATGCTTCTCATCTCTGCTTTCAGTAGCCATTTCTCTCCAACTACGTGCCTTGCCTCTGGCAGGGCGTTACCTCTTACATAGGTTTTGTAAAGTACTATTTTCATTTCTATATTGGTGCATGACGACAGTTCTGAAAATGGAGATTTTAAATCGCCACTGATTTATATTAGAAGGCACAGAAAAACGAAATTTAAAAAAGAAGGCTAAATGATGTTTTAAAATCACAGGTGTTCTCCCTTCAAAAAAAAAAATCGTTCCTTCCGAAAGAATACTTAGGAGTCTTGAGTCCGGTTAACTGGGGTGCGCTCCTCAACGTCTGATCCCCTGCGGTGTCTCCCCAGGTACAGTACGGTTTTCTAGAGTGGTCAGGGTCGCTTGACTTTTGTGCCCGTTCGGTGTTCCGTGTCCAAGCCCCTACGTCCACGACACAAATGACAATCACTTTGGGAAGTGAAAGGGATGGAAAAGAAGAGGGTCAGGCGCTCTGTTGACGCCCCACTCCCCGCCCCAGCTCCAGCAGTTTCGGCCTCTACACGCCGAGTGGAGGAGGCCCAGACAGAGGGAAACCACACAAGCCAGGTTTTTCTACGTGAAAAGATGAAAGTTGCAGGAATGTTTAAGTGTCAGCGAGGCTCTAATTCCGCAGAACTCCACAATGCGACGAACACCGGGCCTTCAGGGAAGGGGATCAGCGGAGCTCGGAGGACCCGGACCTCCGACCGAAGCCACGACGACGTGACCCCGCCAAGACTGTTCTTTCTGGCATCCGCCCAGGAAACTGGATTCCTCGGTGGCGCCAGAGAACGCTTGGGGCTCAGCGCGCGTCGGGTGGGTGGGCCAAGGGCAGGGCCTGTCCCTCCCCCAACCTCCAGCTTAACCCTGTAACTCAGCCCAACCCCCAACACGTCCCACCCTTCCCACAAACCACACCTCATTTCTAGCCCCCAGCTCGCCCCTCCCAGGCTGGAAATAGCGCCGGAGCTGAACCTCCGCTGCGGCTTTGGCAGGGGTCAGGGAACTGTGGAGTGGAGGTGGGAGGTCTGTTTACTTTGGTCAATGACCTTTGATAAGCCTTGCCTGGAGTCAGGGACAAGGGTTGAGAACCCTCTTCTGGCCCCCGCGTTGGTACTTTACAGTCCCGCTTCCCTCACCCCTGGAAGACCCTTTCAAGCCACGCTGGGCAAGTGGAAGAGAGAAATGAGCATCTGCGGGACGCCCGCCCTCACTGAAGCACCATCTCAGTGCCTGGGACCTACTCCAGTCTCCCTACCAGACCCTTCTCACAACCAGGGATCAAGACTGCTGCCTTTGGGGGCTGAAAACTTCTCTGGTTAGCGACACCCAACATTCTGATCAGTCTAAACCCCCCTTTTCTAATGTAGAAGACAATTTCTATAAATATGGAAGCATATGGTTGGGTGGTGGATGTGCCCTGGTTCGGTGCCCCACTTCTGTTGCCTGTAAGCCAGGGCAGTGAACAACTCCAATCATCATTCTGGCTGGCTGACTTCAAGTTCCTTAGTTTATGAATAATCAACTTAACTAAGGCTCCTTTTAGATTGTGAACCAGATTCTTAATCCCACGTGAATTCTAAGGAAGAGAGTGAGGGAGGGAAGAAGTGGGGAGGGGGGTTGCGGAGGGGGGAGAGAGAGAGAGAGAGAGAGAGAAATCAGAGAAAGGTTCATCACCAGCAGGTAAATACAGGTTCCTCCCAGGGTTTACCTTGTTGAGCTGGAAGCATGCCTAAAGAGAATTACCTATGCCCACCCTGGTTCCACTAGTGCACAATTTCTCAAACTTCCCATTTTTTCTGCCTGAGGGAATGTGTGTTCACACACAAAATACAAAGTTAAATTCACTGTCTTGGATTGACCCTAATCTTATAGATGAAAAACAGGGGCCCATAGAATAGCTTAAACATTTCTTTGTGGCAGACCCAGGTGGAAACCAAGATCCAACTTCCAGTTCACAATTCTATCTACTATAACACAAATATCTGGATAATTCAGACCAAAACATGTCTTGTGAGAACTTAGTTGAATTATTCAGATAATTGTCTCAGTTCACTTTTATCATAATGGTAGGCAGATTTCCCAAACTGGAAAGAACTTTCCTCCCCAACCCCCATAATTGTCCTTTTCTAGAAAGGGCCACTGTCACCCCTTGTCTGATAGATCTGCATGTAGGATGTCTTAGACCTTTTAGCCTCAGTGTATTAGGGAGTGCTCATGCTACCACAGTGGAATGTAGTACCACTTTCTTCCACTTGTGCAGAGCACCAAATACCTGCCCCTGCCAAAGGCAGCAAGAAGTCTGTGCTGAGAAAGACGGGTCTGCTAGAGGACTGGGTGTGACTCAGCAGTCCCTGCTCTTTGGTGACAAGCACTAACTGAAGGGCACTCGCTGACACCCATCTCTCCTATTTTCCCACACCAGGCCCAAAACAAAAATGGCCCCTTTCCCACATTCGAAAGAGACTAAAACTTCTCATGGTAATTTGCCTTCCCCTAGCTTTTTAAAGAAAATGCCAACTCAAAGCATCCACGTGACTACCAACTTTCTTAGAGTTCTTAAGGAACTTTCTTAGTATCACACATGAATTCTTTATGTTGTTGTATTTTTTAATTCTTTAGATCATAATAGCTGAGCTTTGCATTGGTTCTAGAAATTTGAAGAGTCCTTTAGTAAATATTTTCTGCTTTCAAGCTCTGCAGTATAGTTCTTTAATGAAACCATTAAACTTTTACACTTTAGCAACATAATTTGTTAATGCTTAATTAACAATGGACCTAATAAGTATCTTCTAAGATCATGACCAAAAGCATAAAAATGTAACTTTTCCTAGATACAAGGATCTCTTTCAAATTGGCAAAGTTTCTGATGTCATGAAATGCTGGTTGTCATGCAGTAGTTTCTGCACTGTATCTGTTTGGCATTACTAAAATGGATGGGAGATTAGAAGCAAATGTTGTTCCTGTCATTTGCCAACTTATACAGACTAGAAGAGAGAACTATATGTATTGACCTTCATTTTTGATGAGCTACAGCCAAATATAAACATTAATATAATACAGCATTTCCCTTGCAAACCCGGGACCCTCTTTTTCACTCTTGCCAGGAAAACCTTAACTTAGAAGACTTGCCATAACTGAAACTTCTTATCAAATCCAAAGCTCAAAATAATATATGAATTCAACATCACTGACATGTATTTGCTTTTTCTGATCACCAATTTCTAACCACTAAGGGAAAAGGCAGAAAAGCTTTCCCACCTTTGACCAACTATGTCATCATAGGTAAATGTCTGGTAACACTCAAAATCACAGAAGTAGTCCATTCAAGAAAGAGCTTCAAGTAAAAACTCCAAGAAGTCCCAAGTCCAAATTATGGCTCGGGCTTTCATAGCTGGGTGACTAGGGAGGAGGGTCACCCCTCTAAGACTCAGTATGACTAAGGTTTTGAAACAGAACATGGACACACAGCTCTTCTCACAGTTCACAGCCATGAAAACTTGCATAGAATGTCCAAGATATCATGCAAATAGATGCTTTTCCTTTCCCTTAAATTCAATCAACTTGGGATTAAATGTGTACTTCAGGAACAAGTTTCATTATAGAATTATTCAGCATAATAAAATACTCAATACACCACAAAACATATTTGAGACCATTAAGGTGCAATGGACATGTGCATCTTGTCATATTAATTGATCATAATATGTATTTCTAATAACATTTTTTCCCAATGTGCTCTCAACAACT